AAAACGAGACAGTCTCTACCAGACATGTTCTAAGAACATTTCGTGGAAACCACAACAATTTCTTAGAACATTGTTTGGTAGGGCTATAGGCGAGCCAGGACGCTTCGCCACTGCTTGAAAGAGGGGGGCGTCCAAGAGGGGGGGCGCAAATCATGGCCGGCGGCACGTGCGCGGCCCAGGGGGGGCGGCCGGGGACGTATTGACACATGACGAGGCGCCGTGGAATCTGGGAGGATATCATGGCCCACGCCATGATATTCACCCCTCCCCCGAGTCCTCACCCTCCTCCTTGCCCTCCTCGCCGCGACTGGCAGGCTGGATGGGGCACCCCGGGATAGAGCAAGAGCGAAGGAGGCGCCGCCGTCGACCCTCGACCCCAGATCCTCGATCCCTCGACCAATCGATCATTTCGACCACTCGATCCCTCGATCCCCGATCCCCTCGATCCCTCGATCTCTCGATCCCTCCATCCTCGACTCTCGATCCCTCGATCCTCGACCCCCGATCCCTCGACCCTCGGTCCTCGATCCTCCTGCATCCTCGATCCTCCCCGCTGGGGATCAACGCCCAGAGCCGAACCATCGGCGAGCCGACAGCACGCCGCCTGCGGCGCAGGCGAGCCGCGGCCCGCGCGCGATCTCGGGCCGCGGGTGGGGCACCGCCAGGGGGAGGTCACCACAGGGGGGGTTCCCCACCTCCTCTCGAGGAAGCGCCCCTGCCTCGAGGAGGGGGGCCCCCCAGGGGGCACGCCAGAGCCTTCCCAGACGACCCCCAGACGTCCAGAAGCGTCCTCGAGACTCGCCCCCGGGGACCTCGATGTCCAGCACCTCCTCGAGGAAGCGCCCCTGCCTCGAGGAGGGGGGCCCCCCCAGGGGGCACGCCAGAGCCCTCCCAGACGACCCCCAGGCGTCCAGAAGCGTCCTCGAGACTCGACCCCGGGGACCTCGATGTCCACCACTTCCTCTCGAGGAAGCGCCCGTGCCTCGAGGAGGGGGGCTCCCAAGGGGTCACGCCAGATTCTTCCCAAGTGACCCCCAGACGTCCAGAAGCGTCCTCGAGCCTGGGGACCTCGATCTCCAGCACCTCCTCGAGGAAGCGCCCCTTCCTCGAGGAGAGGGGCCCCCCAGGGGCACGCCAGAGCCTTCCCATACGACCCCCAGACGTCCAGAGGCGTCCTCGAGCCTCGGCCCTGGGACCTCGACCGCATTTTGCCAGATTTCCTGGATTGCAATTTTCATTTCCCATATTTTCATGAGAAGCAACGTTTCAGTGAGAAGCATTTTTTGTGCCCCCCTTTTCGGCTACAAGCAAGAGTGTCCCTGGGCAAGAGCGACCTTTGGTGCGCGGCTGCTTTTTGGGCCGCGGGGGGGCCAAACACAAAGGCGCATGGCGTCGTACCGCACTCGGCGATCAGCGCGGCCCAGTGGGCGCGCGCACCAGAGGCCACCCCTGCGAAGGGCCACTCTCGCGCGCAGTCGACGTCTCGCCGCGCCCCCGCACTTGATGTCGGAGCCGGCCCGGGTCGGGCCCTTGATGCTCCACCAGACGTGGAGGAGGAGGAGGAGGAGGAGGAGGAGGAAGGAGGAGGTGGAGGAGGAGGAGATGAGGAGGATGAGGAGGAGCATGAGGAGAAGGAGGAGAGGAGGAGGAGGAGGAGGAGAGAATGAGAGGGGAGGTGAGCGGGAGAGGAGGAGGAGAAGAGGAGGGAGGATAGGGGAGAGGAAGGGCAGGGAGGAAAAGAGAAATGGAGGAGGAATAGGAGGAGGAGGAGGAGGAGGAGGAGGAGTAAAAAGACAACATATTTGGAGGAGAGGAGGAGTCTCAGGAGGGAGGAAGAGGAGGGAGGAGGGGAGGGGAGGAGGGGAGGATGAGAGGAGGAAGGGAGGAGGGAGGAGGGAGAGGAGGAGAAGGATGGGAGGGGAGAAGGACGAGGAGGGGAAGGGAGGAGGAGGAGGGAGGGGAGGAGGAGGGGGATGATGAGGGGAAGGAAGTAGGAGGAGGAGAGGAGGAGGAGAGGAGGAGGGAGGAGGAGAGGAGGAGAAGGAGGATGAGGAGAGAGAGGAGGAGAGAGAGAGGAGGGAGGAGGAGGGGAGGAGAGGAGAGGAGGAGGAGGAGGAGGGTGAGGAGGAGAGGAGGGGGGGGGGGAGAGGGGGGAGGACGAGGAGGGAGGAGGAGAAGGGGAGGAGGAGAGGAGGAGGGGAGGAGGAGGAAGGATAGGAGGAGAAGGGGAGAGGAGGAGGAGAGGAGGAAGGAGAGGAGGAGGAGGAGGGGGGAGGAATGAGAGGGGGAGAGGAGAGGATGAGGTAGAGGAGGGAGAGAAGAGGGGAGGAGGAGGAGGAGGAGGAGGAGGAGAGGAGGGAAGAGGATGAGGAGGAGGAGAGGGGGGGAGGGAGAGGGGGAAGGAGGGAGGAGAGGAGGAGGAGGGGGAGAGGGGGAGGAGGAGAGATAGGAGGAGGAGAGGAGGGGAGGAGGAAAGGAGGAGGGAGGAGGAGAAGGGGGGGGAGGGGAGGAGGAGGCGGAGAGAGGAGGAGGAGGAGAGGAGGAGGAGGAGGAGGGGAAGGAGGAGGAGGAGGACCCCCTTCGGCGCTGCCCGATCGGGGGCGGCCGGCGCGCCTGGCCGTCGCAATGGCGGCCTCGAGCCCGGGGGCCGCCCGCGCGGCGCGCACGCGGCCTCCAGGTGGGCGGCGGGTGGCGCGCAGGTGCGCGCTGCGCGGGGTGGCGTGGTGCACGCGCTGGGCGGAGCGTTCTCCTTCCCAGACCCCCTCGCGCCGCGAGCAAGATCACGGCGGGAAGTGTTTGGCCAGTGGAAGAGAATCGCGACGGGAGACCCCTGGGGGCCCCTGTCGGTTCCCAGGGTCAGGTCGGGGGTCTTCTGACCCGGGTCAATCCAGACCCGGGTCAGTCAGGCCTTGCAGAATGCTGCACGATCCTGCAAGATCCTGCGCCCAAGCTCGGGTCAACGCGAAAGATCCCGAAAAATCCTGCAGGATCCTGCACCCACACCCGGGTCAGTGCGACCCTGGCCCTGCAGGATCCTGTAAAATCGGGCGCTCTGGCTGACCCCCGTTTGCATTGACCCCCGTCTCAAGGCTTCCGACCAGGGAATGGGTGGGGGAGAGACGAGGAGGCGGAATAGGGTGAGGGGGAGAGGGATGAGGAGGAGGAGGAGGAGGAAGAGGAGGAGGGAGGAGGAGGAGGAGGAGGAGGGGGAGGAGGTGGAGGAGGAGGAGGAGGAGGAGATGGAGAGGAGAGGAGGAGGAGGAGGAGGAGGAGGGGAGGAGGAGGAGATGGAGGAGGAGGAGGTGGAGGAGGAGGAGATGGAAGAGGAGGAGGAGGAGGTGGAGGTGGAGGAGGAGGAGGAGGAGGAGGAAGAGGAGGAGGACTCCGGGGGTCCACGCTTCCAAAAACTCGCGACGTCGGGGGTCTGGGTGTGCCCTCCTCTGCGGCCACGCCGGCGGTGGCGGGGCAACGGTCGGCAAGAGCACCGGCGCCGAGGAGGCCCACGAGTCGGACGACGTCGGCCGCGAAAGCCAAGAGGGGAGGCAGAGGGGGGCGGGCCTCCTCAGGCAACGCAAGAGGGGGGAAGGCGGAAGGGACGAGGACGACACGGTGGGGCCTAGGCCGTGTTCCTCCATTCCTCCACTCCCCTTCCTGAGAGACAACTCCCCTCTTGTCGACCCCCGAGGCCAGTCGGAAGGGCGGGCCGGGCGTCTCGCCTGAGACTTCCCGACCACCTGTGGTCCTCCAGCTTCTTAGAAGCTGACAGCAGCTTCACAGATGGAGGGCGGGTGGTTTTCAACATGTGGCTCTCGCCAGATCGCCGCGCACATTCATCTTAAAACTTTGCAGGAGCCCCACGGATTGACAGCGGGCGCTTTCCAAAGTGTGGCTCTCGCCTGAGCGCCGCGCGCACTAGTTTCAAAAGAATGCAAGCAAGAGTTTCACGGACTGAGAGCGGGCCGTTTTCGAAATGCGGCTCCGCCTTAGCGCCGCGCGCACTCGTCTGAAAACATTGCAAGGGCCTCATGGATTGAGAGTGGCTCACTGTCAACATGAGGCTCTCGCGATCGCGCCGCACACATTCGTCTTGCACATGTGCAAGAATTTAGCGGATTTCCATGGTTAGCGTGCGAGGAATGTCGTTCCGGGGCGGTTCAAGATTGTCAGGGTGCAACAGTTACGTTGATTCACGGTGCTGAAGTGGGATGGCGTTCTGGCGCGACTCAGGACCGTCCAGACGCGAAATTACAATTAATTCGTGGCGTTGGGGTCCCGAGAACGGTGTTTTGGCATGCTTCAGGATCTTCAAACGGCTGTCTCCGAACGGGGCACTACCCTCAGTCAGAATGAACCCTTGTATGGGGCCTATAAAGAGGGAGCTTGGAGGGAGGGTCTAGTCCAACATCTTCGATGAGTCTTGGGCTTGCACTGCTTTATGTCAGGCAAACGCGAGGCGGGGCCTGTCAGGTTATTGGGTTTGGCCTCAGGCTGCGGGCTGGTGCTGCACCGCTGCGGGACGGGGACGGAGTCTGTCAGCGTGGGGAGCGCAGCGGCCAAAAGGGGGTCGACCCTCGGAGGGGAGGGAGACCGACGGAGGGGCAACACGAGGAGGAGCAACAAGCGGACGAGAAAGAGAGAGGGGAGGAGGAGCTCACTGCCTCCTCCTCCTCCTCGTTCCTCCTTCTCCGCATGCTGATGGCCTCCCTCTTGCCATGCTCTCGCAACACGTTTCAGCCACCGCTGCCGAGACAGAGGCAGCACCGCGCGGACACGTCACGGTCGGGAGCGGCACGAAGAAGGGCCCGAAGGGTGAAAGAGGCAGGGCCGGTCAACATCAAATCGGGAGATCGGATCGGGTCGAAGTGTATGGCAGGTTCGTGTCGTGTCGACCCCAGCGCTGGTTCCTCACACCGCGGAGATCGCTCAATCATGAACGATCGGCCGTGTCCGAAAAGTCAGATTGCTCAGCATCAACCACTTCTGGGTCGCCGCAGGTCGGCACGACGCGAACCTACCGTACATCCAATCGGGCCGCATCGGCACGGATTCGAAACCGAATCGGATCGGCTGTGCCAGGCGCCGCAGAGGCGCGAATTCGGTGGGCGCCGCCATGGGCTGCCTCGGAAGGCCGCAGTGGTGCTCCATGTATCACCCGCGCCGAGGTGGCGCGGATCCAACACGAGAAAAAAACTCGCCCGCCCAAGCGGAGGGCTCGGAGGAGGCGGAGGCAGGGGGCCGACGCCGCCGCCGACGACCCGCTACAGGCACCACCACAACAACGCCCTCCTCATGGTGCGCGGCGCCTTGTGCGCCGCCGCCGGTTGCCAGGGGGCGACATCACCGACGGGGACGACTGCACCTGCGGGGTGGAGCACGTCTACAGGCGGCGAGGTCCACTTCGGCCTGCCCGCCGACGACCAGGAGGAGGTCGGGAGGGGATGCGGATCGGAACTGGCACAGGGGAACGAAGGATGCTACGTCCAGCGCGGATGCAAGAAATCCGCGCGGACCTCCGAGGTTTCATGCTTGTGCCATGCTTCGCTCCCCTGTGGGAAGGGCGAGAAGGCGCAGCGAAGCGAAGCGAGACGAGGCGAAGGCGCCGGAGTCGGGCACGCAGGGCGCGCCCGTCCCTTTCTGGGCAGGGCGCGTGCGGCCGTGGCCCGTGCTCGTGTGCGAAGCGGAAGCCGTGGACGGAACAGTTGTCGGGAAGCGGTGCGCAGAGGAGGGAGGGCGAGGAGGAGGGGAAGCGAAGGCTTCGAAGAAGAAACACCGCCGTAAACATAAGCTTTTGGCGCTGCGCGCGGATTTTTTGGATCCGCGCTGGGTTTCTCCTGGCGGCGCCTCTGGCGCCGCCCCTGGCGCGCTCCGCGCGCCAGGGAGGGGGGTCCAGCGCATATCCAAGAAATCCGCGTGGAGCACCAAAAGTTTATGTTTATGGCGTTTTCTTTTTCTAAGACTGCCAAAACAGCCTTCAACATAACCCCCTTTCGCAAAAAGTGCCAGGGGCCTCCACGTGGCACACGGCACCGCTCTCCGCGTGGACCCCAGCAGGGTCGCTAACCGACGCCCCCAAGCAGCCGACATGTCTCCAGCGAAATGAGCGTCACCAACTGGGAATTGCACGGGTTCGAATCTGTAAGTACATCTGTCGAGCGAGCCGGTGAACGTTTTCCTCAGCCGGCTTGTCTGGGTATAGGCGCTCCGGTAGAGGGAAACAATTACTGAATACCCCCCCCTCCCCCCCAAACACAATGTTGGCACGCGCGGGGGACACTGCGGTCGAAGTGCATCTCATCAGACCCACCGCCAACTTTGAACATTGGGGGGAGGAGGACGCGTTGACGGATGAATGTGGCATGAGTGTTCGCTAAGTTGTTCCGAGGCCTGTCTCTCGATGCCCGAGGGGGAGAGGAAGGGAAACGTGGACGAGGATCGGGAGAGCAGTGGGGCATGAGGGGGGGCGACAGCACGCCTCGCGATGCCGCTCTTGGGGCCCAGACTGGCCGCCCCAGCGGGCCGCCCGGGGCGCTGCGGAGCTCTCCCCGCCCTGGGCTCTCCGCAGGCCTCTCGACCTCAGCGGCCCCGATGCGCAACACGCGGCCCGTAGCGTCGACGACGCGTAAGAGTGGCCCTTCGCCGGAGTGACCTCTGGTGCGGGCCCAAGGGGGTCCCCCGATCGCCGAACGTGGTGCGATAGGAGCGTCTTGCGCGATTGCGCGTTTGGTCCCCCCCGCGGCCCCACCCAGAAGCCACGCACCCAAGGTCACTCTGGTCACTCTTGCGTGTAGCCGGCTCAGAGGAGGACAAGGTCGTGTTGGCGCGAAGCTCGTCACGCGGACTGAAGTCGCAGGCCCGGCGCGATACGTTCGGCGAAACGAAGGCAGCACGCGCGTGACACTCTTTGAGCTCGGCGCGTCCCTGCCTTCCCGCACGTGCGTATCGGGGCAGCTCGGCCCTCGACACAACACAGCCGAGGGGCGACACCCCTGGGGGCTCGAGCACTCACGGGAGCCCACAGTCGGGCGCTGGCAGGACTACAGTAGGAGCTCTACCACAAGAAACCTTCCAAACAAAAAAACCCAACCCCGAGACCCCAGAACGTCCATGGATTTCAGGTGTGGGAACGTCACGCCCTCCATGGCAAAACCATCGAAACCCAAGAAACCCAGGGCACCCTGGAGGCAAGCCAGGTGTTTCTTGGCAAGGGTCTCCACTGCAGGTTTCGTGGGGCTGGGCTTCATGATGCTGCTTGCGGACGCTTCCCCCGCCCCATTCCACTCACCGATTTGCCGCCACCAGGAAGGAAAAGCTAGGGCAGACCTGGTTCTCAAGGGTTCCGGCGAATTTCTTTGGCTTCGGGGCCCTATCACTGCCCAGCCCACTTACCTGGGGCAATGGCTATGCACGACACGAGGGACTCCGGAACTCTCCAGCGGGCAGGGGCATGCAGAGGGCTTGCTCGCCCGCGCGCGCGCGAGCCCTCCTGCTTCTGCTGCTGCTGCCTCCCGTCCTCATCCTGATCGTCACCCTCGCCCTCGCCCTCATCTCGGGGAGACGTGAGACTCGGGCTCGGGGGACTCGGGTCGGCCGGACGGGGCCGTCATGACAACGACGCGACCCAGTGTGAAGTTTGACGCGAGCTCCCGCCGCAGACGTCCCCCGAAACCTGGGCT